AGGTCAATCCATCCAAAACAATACATCAAGCAGAGTTCATTTGCTGGCTTCTTATATCTTGTAGGGATTGCAGATATTCAGAACGACATGGCGATTACCAGGAGGTCTCTAGCTGTTTGCATTTCACAATATGAGGAGTCACTGGCTTCTAAAAAAAAACTATCGAAATACCTAAAATATATAAAAAAAAACAGCCTGTTCGAAATCTTCCATAAAAAAATAAAGTACTTATTATTTCACAAGAATCCCAGAAAATATAACTGTTTTAACTCTCGGCATTATAAAAATACAAGATTCATATTCTCTTTTCATGTAAACGCATTGCATCTGCCTCCATTAAAAGGTCACTCCACCAAAAGCTGACACCAGCCTCTCTTACCTGTCAGCGTTTTTTTTCTCAAATGGTGAGATCTCACTGCTGGAGTCACCAGGGGTAGAAGAAATTGGTGGCCAATTGAATCCATTAAAAACATAAAGTGAACCTCTAGACAAAACTTTTTTTCTTTTGAATAGAGGTGGCAAGAGTTCAAACCTCAGATATTAATTGCTCTGTCACCATTGTGGCGATTTTCTCTCACGTCCTGTTCAGATGACAACATGGTCACCAAGACAGGAAATTAGGTAAAAGGGGATAAACACAGCATGGAGTCTTAACTCTTCCGCACCCTTCCAAAAAAATCTTTTTTTTTTTATTGGAAAGGTTTATTAGAAATATTATTATTTTTGTCCAGTGGAATGCTGTCACAAAGACAGGAAGTGAGGGCAATCTTATCGTCACATACAGCAATAAAGATCTGATGAGGATTCTAACCCTTCCCAGGTCTATCCAAAACTAGAAAAAGGTTTTGACTGCCATTACACAAGTCCACGTACTAACAAATACTTAGAGCCCCCCGCCCATTCCTATCCCCCATTCTAACCCAGACAACTCCCACCCAGATGGTAACTTGCTCCTGGAAGGTAGACAGATTCCCCCCTCCCTATCCCCCTAATCTAACCCAGACAACTCCCACCCAGATGGTAACTTGCTCCTGGAAGGTAGACAGATTCCCCCCTCCCTATCCCCCTAATCTAACCCAGACAACTCCCACCCAGATGGTAACTTGCTCCTGGAAGGTAGACAGATTCCCCCCTCCCTATCCCCCTAATCTAACCCAGACAACTCCCACCCAGATGGTAACTTGCTCCTGGAAGGTAGACAGATTCCCCCCTCCCTATCCCCCTAATCTAACCCAGACAACTCCCACCCAGATGGTAACTTGCTCCTGGCCGGGAGAAAGAGCCTCCCCATCCCTATCACCCTAACTTAACCCAGACAACCTCCACCCACCCAGATGGTAACTTGCTCACGGCCGGGAGACGAAAGTAGGTGAGCCACATAAAGGTATATAGGGCTCTACTGAGCAGGCGTGACTATGGTTGTAAAAAAAAAAATGGGAGGAGCCGGATCTCGGTAAGTACTCATCTGAAGAGGGGAGGTCTTGTGAGGCATGGGAAGGAGGGGCTTATTCTTTAACGTTTAGAAAAGCTGTCAGACCCCACCCACCCAAAAGCTCAGGTTTAGACCGGCCACCCTTTTTATATCGAGGATTAGACAAGTCAGTCCTCTGATCACATTGGGTAAAAGAATTTTCTCTCCACTGGTTTTAATACGTTGTCAGAATTGGCCATTTGCAAAAATAATCTTGAAAGACCGAGTTGAGAATCTGTTGTGGGAGATCTCAGATAAAGCAACCAATCAGAAATAACCTGGCAGCTAACTGAAGAACAAAATGAAAGGTGATTGGTTCCCTGCACATTCCTGCAATAAAGGGTTAAAAACATCTTTATAATTTAAAGACAGCTGCAGCAAAATATATAAAACATCTTTTAGTTCATTAGAGTCCTTCAAAAGCTAAGAATTCAGGTTTGAGTTCAACCAATGAATTTCCCTGAAGTCTCTTTATCCAGAGCCGCCCTTTAGGAGCACCTGTCTCCAAGGCACAGAGTGGGCACTGTATATATTGTCTATTGGTGTCATTTCCTGAAATATTGGTCCAACCTCCAACGCTGCCACCGCAAGGAAGACGGGCGCCCATCATGGAGAGGATGAGTAAAAAGAAAGCAATACAATCCAATCACACTGACTGCAGCCCACTGCACTGACTCAGAGGAACTGATGAAAAGGGGTCAGAGCATTCCAGTCGGTGCGCCCCTTCTGTTCAAGATGGAGAGGTACGCCTCGTAGATGGTGTTCAAAAAACTCTCATCATTCTGAAAAGGAAAAAAAAAAAACAAAACAGAAAAATCTACTTTATTATACATATTAATATCTCTGACATATTCAGCAGCGCTGTACAGAGAACCATTCCCATCAGTGTCTGCACCAGAGGAGCTTACACTCTAATGTCCTCCACTACAGTCACACACTATTATTATTAGGGATGCACCGATATATCGGCCACCGAAACAGATCGGCCGAAAATGGCACTTTTGGCATAATGCCGATAGAGCCATGTTTCGGCCGATACATCGGCGCATCCCTGGTTTCTTTTCTCCCCGCTGGGCGCTGCTCTGTGTTCCAGCGGGGAGAAAAGAAAGTGACAGCCGGCCGAGCGCTGCAAGACGAGAGCGCTGTGAGCGGCCAGCGTCTCTCCTCCCACAGCGCTCAGCCTCCTATCACAGTCCGGCAGAGCGGTGTGTGGGCGGAGACAGCCAGAGCCGTCACAGGAGGCTGGGCTCTCCTCTCTACACAGCTCGCTCAGCCTCCTGTGACAGCGTGTCAGAGAGGAGAGCAAGGTACAAGCAGTCAGTGATCAGTGATCGCTGAGTGTTTGTACATAATTGAGGACCTGGTATGGTTACTATATCCTCAATTATGAATGAATGGGAAGTGATCTACATCACCTCATGTTCATTCACAGTTGTAGTTATAGTAAACATACCCTGTCCTCATGTTATCAATGAACAGGAACACTCATTCCTGTTCATTGATAACAGGGGATACAGAAAAAGAGATTGAGGACTCTGTGTCCTAAATCTCTTTTTCTATTTTAAAAAGGGAAACATCAGGGGTCTGTTTAGACCCCCAATATTTCCCCAAAACCCCTAAAAGCAATGTAAAAAATAAAAATATTTAATAAAAAATGAATTAAAAAAATTAAAAAGTTTATAAAAAATAAAATATTAAAAAGATTTTTAATAAATTTAAATAAAAAAACATTTTCGGTATCTGTTTCGGCCTGACAATTTTTTTTATTTCGGTTTTAAACTTTCCATTTCGGTGCACTTCTAATTATTATACATTTATATAGTTCTAACTATTTTTTTTTTTTTTCGGTACTCGCCGATACAGAGTACCGGTGCCGTGTGCCCTGATTATCACGAAGTTGGGTGGCGGATCATGACCTGTCGCCTGGCTTCCTGATTGCTTGTGAAGCCGGTGTTCTAGCGAAAGAACGCCAGCTTCACTTGCCGAAGCAGCCTGGCTTCCTGACCAATCAAGAAGCAGACCGGCAAGTCATAAGGTGCCGCCTGGCTTCTTGATTGGCTAGGAAGCCAGCTTCACTTGTTGGTAGGCAGCCCGCCTTCATAACCAATCAGGAAGCCGGGTAGCACATCATTACCCACCTTTCCGATTGACTAGGAAGCCGGCTTCACTTGTTGCTAGGCAGCCTGGCTTCCTAACCAATAAGGAAGCCCGGAGGGAGGTCATAACCCACCGCCCAGCATCCTGATTGGAAAGGAAGCCAGCTCCATGCTCCCTTGGCACTGCCAGTCAGAGGGACATCTCCCTCTGACCGGAAGTTCCGGTAGCGGAGGTAAGTATTAGAGCATTTGGACGAGTACATCGGTATCGGTGCATCCCTAGTTCTAACATCTTTTGCAGCACTTTACAGAGAAATGTTGCTAGATTTTTGCACAGGTTTATATATGAACCTCGGCCACAGGTGGTGGTGGAGTAAAACTGCTTTGAGTCCTTTAGAAAGAAAGAAAATAATGTCACCAGCACACCATAATAAATCAATAATCCATTTAATGGCACATTGCATGGAAATGTGCCATTAAATGGATTATTGATTTATTACTACGGTGTGCTGGTGACATTATTTTCTTCTTCTGTGGTATACACGGTGCCGTCCGTGGTCACTACAAGCACCCACCCATACGGGTTCTCTCCGGTAAGGAGTGCAGCAAGACCTCTGTTTCTTTAGAAAGAAAGAGCACATAACCCTTGCAGTGCCGTGCATCCCAACTGCAAAGGAAGTTTTTTTCTTTGCCCGGACATGGGCAGATGTACAATTTTCCGAATGTTAAGAGAGAAAAAAAGAGCAAACTTTCTGTTACAAGCACAGCGCTTCGGACTCTCACCTGAAGGAGATGCAGAAGGGATTCTTGGAGCTGGTTCTTGGTCAGTACGCTGCCCGGATTGCTGACGCTGTTAGTTTGCGTGTCTGTGAGCGTCAGAGGGAGGAGGAGACTAGCGGTCGTGTCGTTATCAGACGGCGTGGGTTTTGTCACATCGCCTGTCTTCTGTGTGCTCGTTTGTGTAAAAACCAGAGGAGACAGGAGGACAGCTGGTGACACCGTGGCCGGGATCCGCTGAGGGGATATAACCTGCACAAGAAAATCACAAAAAACTGTTCAGGTGAATAAATCCTTTGATAGGTAAACCTCGTGTATTTCTATTCTGTATTTAATTGCCTTCTATAATCTATGGTTTATTATATGCATATATACTGTATGTTATTATATAATGCATTGCAGAAGTACGAGAGGGAGGGTAACATGGTGAGCACAGGTAGCTTCCTGATAGAAGGAGAAAGCAGAGTGATGAGGGGAAGAACCCAGGAGATTTCACAGGAGGTTTTTTTTTTAAAGATGCATGCACATTAGGGATGCACCAGTACAGGTATTTTGGTATGGAGTACCGATATTTTTTCCCGGTACTCGCCGATACCGAATACCGATATCGGAAGTGCCATTAAGGAAGCCAGGCGGCGTGTAATGACTCGCCACCTGGCTTCCCGATTAGCAGGGAAGCCGTCCCCCATGCTTCTCGTCACTATGTGACGAGTAATCATGGAGCCGGCTTTCTGGCCATTTAGGAAGCCAGGTGCCGTGTAATGACGCAGCGCCCGGTCCCTGATTGGCCGGGAAGCCGGCTCCATGATTCCTCATCATGAGGTGACGAGGGAGCATGAAGCTGGCTTCCCGGCCAATCAGGAAGCAGGGCAGTGAGTCATTGAAGTGACATGGGAGCATGGAGCCGGCTTCCTGGCCAATCAGAAAGCCGGGCAGAGTGTAATGACACGCTGCCTGGCTTCCGGATACAGAAAGTATCGGGCTAGGCATCAGAGCATTTGGGCGAGTACACGCAAAAGTACTCTGCATCGATACTAGTATCGGTGCATCCCTAATGCACATTATGACGTTTCTAAATCTGCTGTGCATTTTTTAAACAAAGAGATTCACATCTGCAATTAAATTGAAAACAAAAGGAAGTATGTCCAAAGCACTGAGCTTCATTTAACCCAGAAAAGGACCTTAAGGAGGACATGGAAGCCAGCCCTGAAGCATGGAGAGATTAAGCAGTGCCTAAAGGACAAACTTGAGCATGCTTATTCCCCTTCACATATCTACCTCAACCCACCCCCCTCCTCCCCCGAATCTATTCAGTAGGTTGTACCTTTAGGTGCTTTTTAAACCTGCCCAAATCCACCATATGTGTCCCTCACTGGCACCACTTCTGTAAGCCATGACCGGTGGATCCATCGCTGCAGTAAACTGGTCTCCATTCCTGATGTCATCTCTCCAGAGCTGTCTTTTGAGGACCCTGCCACTGCACAGCCAATAAGAAGTGTCCACATCACCCAGGCAGTGACATGGACACCCGAAGAAGAACCCTCCTCCTCAGCAGGAGAGGAGATGAGATAGCAGACTAGGGAGCCGGAGCACCACGTCACTGCGGATTCAGGCATTTGCAGCATTTTACATTTTTTATAAAAACAAAGCTAGGAATTAGTTGTGGGTGCCCAGAGTCCAGCTTTATACTTTCTTTTTTTTTGGCTACAGACCTTCCCATACATGGCTGGCAATTGATTAACCATACAAGTTGCCAGCAGATAATGCAACCATCTGGCTACAAGGAACTGACTACAGCCACATGGTGCCTTTACAAAATCTAAAAACAAGACTTGAAATCACTTGGAAACAGTAAACCAGCAACATCGCCAATGACACCTGTTGTACTGGGATTACCTGAAGCAGCGGATTGGGCTTCTCTCTCAGCGGTAACTTCTCTTCCCAGGTCTGTTTCATTGCTGGCTGAGAGACGAGCGGGAACTTGGCAGCCAGGGCTGGCTTGGTGTTGGTCTGGTACTGTTGGTCCTGACGTGCAAGGTTCAGTTTCTTCAGCAGCTCGTGAGGAGAGATGGTTCCGGGTACAGATTGTAGCTGGGAGGGGAGAGGCATTGTGGGAGGATTTGATGGAGCCCTAGGGCTCTGCTGAGAGCCATCATAGAAATGAAGTGGGGCAGTGCTCGTGTTTTTCCCCATGGTGCTGGTTGCGACGCTGTTTATGGGATCGCTGTAATAATGAATTATAGGAGTCAGACCCGGTTCAGGGGGGAGAACTTTGGAGTGGGTGCTGGTGAGTATGTGCAGAAGGTTTTCACAGCTATCAGGTTCCAGTGCAGTAAAAGTGGCAACATCTTCTATTGGCAGGAAAAGGCCGCTGAAGACGTCTCCGGGTAGATGGGCGCTCCTAACCTGGCTCTGCTGGTTCTCTGGAATCTCCGAAACTGGTAGCAGGTCGGCACCACGCACCATCAGTTTCTGGATAGCCGGACACAGCTGCTTTTCTCTGCTTTCAGATAATCGACCTGGCTCTTCATAGGACAAGGAACGAACCACAGCCGGACGGCCCTTGGAGGGGTCTTTATGTTCTTGACCCTCTACGGGGGTCTTTTCTGCCTTCCCAAACAGAGTGGTCAGCGACAGATGCTGGGGTCCTGTATCTCCAGACTTTGGAAGAAACACACAGAGTTCAGATACATATATCTGATTTACCAAAACAATCATTTTATTAGATTTTATAGATCATCAGTTGTCACCAGAACAGGTGCCTATTGGATTCTTCTTCCTGTTCTGGTGACAACTGTAAAGTTTTTCCATCACTTTCTGTCTCTGTGATGATAGTCGCCGGGACAAAAACAAAACAGGGTGAATCTCCCAAATGGGAACACAGACAGCAATAAAACTCAACCCTTCACTAAAAAAAAAAAGGAGGCTTTAGATACAATCTAAACTCACACCTAAAATGAAAAGGAAAGTTTTGAAATGAATACAGTGTATGCCGCATTCCAGATCAGGGATTCTGTTTTTTATTCTGGCATTGCTGTAGGGCAGCAGATGACCCCGCTGTGTTTTGAATGTAATCCAAGAAAGAGAGATATAAATATTAGATAGAGAAAAATGAGGGGGTGGTGAGAGAGATATATATATGAGAGAGGGAGGGTAAAAGAGAGAG